GAAACTATTTTTATAAAGATGGAACCTGGTTGTGAAAGGGGTCCTGGATTTGCCACTTGCCAAGCTCTGTATCTGTCTTAGTAGAAAACCAGCGGTCACCACTTATTGAGGTGACAACCAGCCCCCCTTAATGACAGGTACAGAAAGTGGAATTTAATGTGCAGAGTGAGAAAGACACGTACAAATAAAAAGACAACTTTTAAAATGTCTTAATTAACATAATATATCTTAATAACTAGACGATAAAGTTATCACTATCTTAACAACGTAAGATATTGAAATCGTCACATAGCGACTTGTATCGCTAGGTAGCTGACATTGACGCACATATATCGCTATATGTTGCTGTTACACTATCGCAGTACAAGTACAACCACACGAAGAAATATACCTCATGAAACACAGAGAGCACAAAGAGAAATGACAGAAAAGTTACACTCACTTATTATAACACGGCTCATCTCCAGGTATTACATAATTCACATTCCAGAAAAACAGAACTACTCTTCTTAGATTATGGTACTTGAATGTGCGTGTGCAGTGTACGCTCGTGAGTCGTGCGTTCAAGCTAACGAGATTTTACGACATAAATATATGTGGAACCGACTGGTCTGGGGTTTGGGCGACCGGACCGGAAACTTAACTCTAGAAACCGAAATCCGAATTGAGATTAATTTTAAATCATTTTATGTAAAATTAAAGGTGCTAAGAGAAAAAGAAGGACACATACATATAAAAACGTTAACTTAATTACAATGAAGTTATAACTAACTTTACAACGTAAGATAATCATATAACACGAAGAAATATAATATAGAGAAATTTCAAAAAAGTTACACTCAATAATTGTAACTCGGATTGGCTCCGCCGTTTAGCCCTTTCCTTATTCCTTACATCTATTACTATCTTACTAAACAACTCCTATTTTGTATTTTAGTATCGTGATCCCCTCTCCTGCAATCTCTCGCCTGCCTGTATCAACTGATTAATCACGTGGGCCACCTCCTGTTTTCCCTTTCTTTATGATATGCTAGCCCATATATTACACGCTTTAGAAATTATCATTACAGGACGACATGAACCTCAAAACTTTGATCATAACATTAACACGAGAAAATATGGACAGAACTGAACAAGAGCAACAACCACACTCAAAGACTGAGGAATCAGGAGGACTCTATATCCCAGGAACCAACTATTTAGCTATCATCGCTCAATAATCGGATTGGGATCAACCCTACATTGTACATACAATTTGATTTTCCGACTTTAAAGCTGACCTAAGCACTAAGAAACCAGGGAATTAAATTTACCTTCCCAACATTAAATCGTTGATTTTATATCATATTCCTTTTTTTCCAAAACATTCCAGTACATTGTGCAGAAAGTTGGAGATTAAAAATTTTGGAAGCACGTAGGGATTTATACCTGATATCGACCGTATATACTAAAAATACTCTAGCACAACTGTAACCGCAGTTTTACAGAACTCCAAATATACTTAATGAACACACTTGCAGGTACCACCCGTTTTCACACTCAAAATGAGTTTTGTCAGTTTCCGATACGAGATTGGGACGGCAAAACAATTACAAACAAACAAACACTAACAGGCCTACAGGGCACTGTGTATTGCCAATGGCAATTGCTGTACTTCATGTAGAATTCACTGGGTCGGATACAATTATATTTATCATTATATCTCAGCTTTAACTTTTCTAGTCTCTTCAACGCAATTTATTTCCACATCTCTTAATCTTCTGTCGTCTTATTCGACTCGCAAGGTCAAAATGTTTTGTTAAAAATTAGAAGGCAGTTATGAAACACCTTGCCTCACATTGTAGCCCCGCCGCGCACGAGTATCTGGTATCGTGACGTATCGACATCGTTGATCGTGGTTTTCGCCCCGATACACTAAATGAAATGACGATGAGGGTCACGCGGACGTGAGACAAGAAACACCAGAAACTTTCATTTTGAACAGTGTCAAGTGTAGTAAATGTAATATAATATTTTGGTAAACTTGGTAGTATAGGTACTGTCATTATGTCTATGAGTATAAAGTTCCTAAAGACCAGCTTGGTTGTCAAGAGACTTTTTAAATTAGTGATAATACACTGGCACTTTTTCTAAAAGTAAAAGGGTCTCCGCCGGCAAGGCGGCACATGGCATGGCAGTTAAAACCTACTCGAATCGACTTATTTTAAATTCCGAACAGTGACGGACCCGCAGGAACAAAAATGATTTCTGACGAACTTTATGATTATAAGTTTAGGTTTCGAACTGATTTGTAATTGTTGGGTTATATTTACTAATTCAATAACGACAATTCTTATTTTTGGTCAATGGTGATCTTAATTTTTTTAAACATAAACGATAAATAAAAAATACAACATTATGAATTACGGTTTATGATTCGAATTCAGAATTGCACACTTGCAAAATTTCAATTTATGGTATTAAAAGGCATCTACAGTCAATCATCACAATCACATTACATTCACAATATCATTATCCTCCGACTACCATTTAGGAAAAGTGATGTAATGTTTGGCATCGAAAGCATCAGGTTCGTAGTGGAGATCGATTGGAAGGGTGCCGTTTGTTTTGCACGAGTTCATGAAACCAGTCCAACGCACTGTCCATTTGTTCCTTGGATTGATGTCCGGATGGTAGATCAGGAACTTGAACTTGTCGTTTTCAATCTTGGTCGGTAAGGACATGATGTATTGGTTATCGGAATTGGAACCATTATTGGCATCAATCGAGTTACCACCGTAATAATCACCCTCACTCTCATAATCGTTATCAGATCTACGCCTAGAAGTCGAGGAGGTCGTGTCAAAGAAGAGTTCAGGGATCTTCAGGTAGGGATGTTCGGCCCAACTCGGCCACTTGCAGGTCTCCATGTCCACCTCAACGTACCTGAAGTAGTAAACCTGGTTTGTACTCTGGTCGAAAGGGTTCCACACTTTAGTGTTCTCATTGTAAGGGTAGGAGGACACAGAGCCCACACAAAACTTGTAGCAGCCCCGGTACTCAACTCTGCCTGAAGTTATCGTCACCGCCCCGTCCTCAACCTTTATCACCATCGGTTCTTTAGGTAGAATTGGAGCTCTATTGTCTTCTAGTTCGACATGGTTTATTTTGATAGCATCAGAACTCGCCACCGCCGTGGAAATCAGTAGACATAGAGCTATCATCAAGAATCTGAGAGGCAGCTGCATTTTTGTAGGTTAAGAACGGAACTAAACTCACAAAAAGGAAAATGTGATCTAATTTACTTGTGAAATTTAGATAACATACGCAGCTAGCCACATAATTACATTTATAAGTTATCGTGAATACAGTAACACGACCCTATCTTTTGGCACTGGGGTATTAGGATTGGTTTCCTTGGAATACTGAAGTAGTGAAGTATACGAAACACACAATTACTGATTTTAAAATGTTAATAACACAACAAGCTCTAAATAAAGTTTAATTTATTCTCACAGAAAATTGGAGATAAGGGTGCGACGGAGACATCTTGCAGTAGTTCTAAAGGCTGGACGGTCACCAACGATAATCTTATCAGTTGCACTCGTGAGTGGAGTTTTTTATGTTAAACTGCACTGCGCGGTCACCGCCCAATGTCCATGTCCGATATGGCTGATAGTGATCACTGATAGTGATACGTGGTTAAGAATGAGAAGCTGACACGATGTGCTTTGGACAGACGATTTCTCTGCTTTCAATTTAATGTCATGATTGATTTTCAGACATTCATCTACAAGTTAAACTTTAAAAGAATTTTGAAGCTCAAAAGTTTCTTAGTCAAAGTAATAGATTTTTCATAAAGTCGACCTTTATTTTCTTCAAGAATATTTTCAAATTAGTTTTCATTTGTAGATGAAGGGTAAATCTTGAGCAATCAGATCATTTAATTCAAAAACGAGTTCCTTCGTAGCTCACATTAGCGAGACAGATAGACTAATGGTAACAAACCCACCAGGTGGCTGCAACGACATAACCACTACGGTACAACACGCAGAAACGACAGCCACACCTGCCGTTACCAATGGTAACCCACCATTCTCTACTGGAGACATAGTTCCTTTCAACTGCAAATCTGGTCAGTACACTCCGAGTAAAGTCCCTACTTTACAGCACTTCAAATTCACACCTTATTTAATAGAAGTCAGTTTCCCTAAACTGAACTCCCGCAGGTTACGTTCTGGTTGGTTACGCTACAGTTACATGCGACAGTATGGGATCGTGGAACTCTCCCTTGCCTCAATGCGTGGTGGTGTCCTCCACACAGTCCCTCTACCCTACATCAGTCATCTTCCTCAACGTCGCAGTCCTTGCACTGTCCTTCTTTTTATCATGAAGTTCAATAATAAGTTCATGATTTTGCAAGGAGACTGGAAGAAATGGAAACTATATATATTTTCACGAAAACCTTTTTTGTGTCCATTCAAAGCGTTTTGCTTAAATTCTGCCGGAGATTTTTCAAAGGACTCGTTATCCAAACGAAGATGGAAGAAACTTTTAATAGAGTGGACTAACGATTTCGAAGCGGATTACTTTGGATAATCTTGTGCTCTTTAGTGTTTAATTTTATTCTAGTTTCTACGGGACTCTCGAAACATACACTATTAAAAATGTAACTTATTTCAAACATTTAGAAAGCTCTTGATACTTGAAAGCTGCTCGTTTCATTTACATTACCTCAGGGCTAAGTACTGAAGATACTCATGTTCCAAATGCACTTAATGGCCTGAAATTGTTCACCGAATGAAGCACTAAATCGACGTAGCGTATCACAGCTATTGCACTACGTCGCGTCGATCCGTGCGTGTAGCGGGAAAAGACTACCATCAGCATGCTTTTTACCCCGCGCAGGACCGAATCCTTGCAAAGTCTATGTTTTCACCACTTATTGCACTGCGCGTCTCATGTATGTTGAGATATGTGCCGGACGACAGGTTCACTAAGATTCAACAACGCAGTGTTTTCGGTTTCTTTAAACACAATAGAATAAATAACTTTATACAATAATATACATCGATTATCTATACACAAATAAATGTTTCTGAAAGCGTTTCTGAAAATCTGAAAATAAAACTTGGTTGTGACCCCGTCGAAAATAAACTGCGCAGCAGTCTGTTCAGGTAAATATCTGAATAAGTTGCAATAACGAGTCTTTGAGTAGCAGTTTTGAATTAAAGTGAGATAAGAAGAGATTCCTGCTACCTTATCACATCGCCATTTTCCAACTCCCGTACCGCTTCCCATTCACTGTTCAACTCAGATGCAACCTGGATAAATATTGGCAAGAGTTCAATAAACTTAAATACAGTTATAAACTCTCTAATTGGCGAAATTGTTATTACATAATTGTGTAGTTAATCAGTTAATTTATCAATAAAATTACCTCAGTGAACAATCTTTCCCAGTACCATGGCTTATCACTCTCCTTCACACTGCTCTCTGCGTTCAAATACTGAAAATAGGAAAATAGGAAAACCGTTACCACTACTAATAATATCACTACTACTACAACTACTAATAGTTCGGAACTAATTCCTAATTACCCTCTCCCACTGTCCCGCATCAGAATTCGCAGTTCCTCTTATAGTTCCTTTTAGTAGAGTTATCGAATCTCAAGCACAATTAATCTCAGGAGTATTAAGCGATAATTCTCGATAAATCTAATAGAGTGATAACTCACTCAATACCTTGACTTTTAACACCATAGCAAATGTGAAACTAAGTAGTTCACGAAATAGGGGATTGAAAATAAAAACTGTATTTTAAATCAACAGATCAACTTACCCTGGTAAGACACTTCAGATCTATCTTGCTATCAAGCATCATGAGTGCTGAGTGTTTGTTGAGTTCCTGGTCCAACTCCCGGATAGTAGCAACTCTGTTGACTTGAACATTTGGCGCTTCAGCAACCTGAGTGACAATACTGTTAAATACGCATTAAATAAAGATATGGTGTCAGTAAATAACTTAAGTGATCACTATTATATAATAATCTTGGCGAAATCACCATTACATGAATCATTAAATCGATAAATCTTTGATGGTTGGTATAATAAATGGCAGGTGCAGCGAAGGCCATTAATTCATGACATAATATGACAATATGTTTTAAGGGGTGTCTTGACAAGTGCCAAATATCCACAGTCAACAACATAACCCCACATAATATATAATAGGTACCGTGGCTCAAGCATGCAAAATATTATATTTCAAAGCCATACCAGACACCTTCGATCATAAAAGGGACCGATTAAATTGATTTTTGATGGTATTTTGGAAGCCCTCGCTCTGTGTTGAATGTTGATGTACATACATGACCAAAATGACGAACTGGCATCTTAAAAGCTCTTCTATATTTGATGCACCGGTTTAACTTAAAATTGTTGCTAATTAAATATATTATACGTAGCGTTATGAGTAAACGAGTTGATAGTTGAATTTTATGTCACCATGGTGACATGTTCATTATTCATCCACATTCCACATAGTTGTCATAAAATTAATTGAATCAATATTAATCTGTACTTTGCTTAATCTTAGAACTTACACGGGTCACGAACTAGAAAACATGCCACTTTTGGTGGATATGAAAATAAGATGGGTTCGGGACTGGGGAAGTCAACGCTATTTAATTAAGCGACCGATTTTAGAACGAAATGCCGAAAAATCGTGTAGGAATTTTGAATTCTCACTATTGAAAACCCGACGGCCAATAAAAATTCTTGACGGGTCATTATAACGACAACAACAACAACAACATTAGTATACTATAATAATCTATACCAAGAATAGTAATAGAAACATCACCTGAAAGCTGAGGTCCTCCTCCGCCATCTCTTCCAACACTGGAATGGTAGGAATTTCAGATATTTCCTCCCCGGGACTCTGAGTATTAAACCTGGGATCCTCCATGCTGACAGCAGTGTTTTCACCCCAGCCCCCCTGTTTGGGCATGGGACGAGGAGGGGACAGTTCGTCTGTGGAGGAGGGGCTCAACATCATCGTGGAATCTGAGGAAGGAGGACATTTTAAAACAAATTAAAGCTTTTAAGAGAAGGGCAGTGGAGGGTCAGCGGCTCAGCGCAGTGGAGGGTCAGCGGCTCAGCGCAGTGGAGGGTCAGCGCCCTTTTTAATCGACCGTTTTTTATAGACTGAACAATTCTACGCAGGGTATATTTTAGCCGGCAACGGTTGGGCGTTGTCAAATTGTAAATGTTCTATAGGATGAATTGCTCTCTAAGTATAAAAAGGTAGATCATTTCGTCAAAAAAAGCGATCTTTCCCCCCAGAATTGGATCAATTACTCACTAAGTCGTATTTAATGTCAATAATACTGCCCAGGCCATTAAGCACCTACCGGGGCCGACTAGTAGTAGCATGAAAATCATAAAATACCCGACATATATCCAGACTTAAACAGCAAGCAGAAACATAGTTAAAAGCCTAATAAAAGGTACAGTAAAATAACTTTGCAGAATAAAATGCCACGTAGATATTCCCTTTGCCAGCTAAATTGTCCGGAACGCACCAGTAGCAGCAGCTCCAGGAGCAGGAATTTCAGAGTCTTCATTGGGAGAGGTACTCTGTACGGCACGACGCCCCGCTTGTGGCCGATCCTTCTTGTCTGGTGACGTAGTGAAGATATCAGACATTACGTCGCTTTTCTTGGAGGCACGCTATAAGTTACAATAAGATAAGTTACAATAAGATAAGTTACTGTAAGTTACAATAAGATGAGTTGCAGCACAACAAAGAAATTTCCATAAAAAGGATAATGTGTAGCGCTCGGCAGACTTTGAATGGCATACATGTACATTGTACATTGTACAGCTATAAATAACGATAGGGATCTATTGTTTTTAAAGCTCCTTGAAAGTTGTCTGAAGTAGCTTAATTGATCTGAGGTATGCGAGGGGACTACAATCATGACAGCGAAACATTTACCAAAGTGCCAGTAAAAACTCACAATTGACAATACAACAATCACCATCGAAACTCGATGTTCAATAAATTATCTCACACAGAGACCTTCGACCTACCGACCACATAATTTACTATAGCTATCGTAAAACTATTTCATCTTCACACCGTTGATTCCGGATAAATAATATAATTGTTATGAATTCAATAATTTATGAATTTTTGAAAAACCAAGTCCAACTCACTGATTTATACAAAGATTTGAAGGCTAGGAAACATTGCAATTCGCAATTTAACCAAAGAATTTAGACTGTAAATATTGCAATCAATGTGACAATAAGACAGGCTCATAGAGTAACAAACTAGAAAATAGATCTGAAAAGAAAGCCAGATATTCTCATATTATAACCAATTGAACTTGGAAAATTATAGAAAAAGAGGGGAAAACTTCAAGAAAAAGAAAATCCTACACACTAAATCGAAAAATCAATTAATTTTAAAGCCCCGATACCTGACATTGGGTAAAAATTTACCTAAATTTATGATCATGATCACTAACGTGAAGATAATGACAATTGCTATAAGGACAATTGCCCCGTAACCAGTGCTCACACTCGATTGTTGGATTCTTGTTCCAGTTAACGTCCAGAGACACTCCTTGTATCACGTGATTTTGAGCAGCATTAAAAGCCCTCTTGGCATCTTCGTGCCTCATGAAATGGATAAAGGAGTACGCTAGAGGCTTACCGTGAGTTTTGATGATCACTACCCCCGAAACTTTGCCATATTTTGTAAAAACATCGTATAGATCCTTTTCTGTTATTTTCTTGGAGTCAAAATGCCCAATCCAAAGTGAGTAATCGCGAGGATCAAATTTACGTCCAGATTTGCCATTAGCCATGTTCTGTGGCTTATCATTGTGGGGCCTAACATTTAGGTTGTGATGCTGAGGCTTGGGTCCAGGTCGGACTGCCATGGTGTTGGGGCGCACCATCATGGGCTGCTGATTGTGGGGTTTCACCGGATGAAGGGGAGACTGCTGGTGGACGGGAGATTGCATTTGAGCTGGCATCCTCATCATGGTGCTCACTGGTATGCTGTTCATGTGCATGTTCTGAGGGCGCGGGTACGGTATTGGTACCCTGACTGGCATTTGCATCATGTGGGGTCTGGTTCCCGGTGCCACAGAGGGCATTCTGATCGGAGATGCGGTGTAGGATCCGGCCGATATCACGGGGTAAAATGTAGACATTTGAGTGTGAGGAATGTGGGAAATATTTGGGTAAATAGGAGGCGGCATTTGTGGAGGTGGAGGGGGAGGCTCCTCATAATCCGGGGTTGTAAAAGACATGTTATCTTTAAACTGGGATGACAACAAAAATTCGATTGCCCCCTGGATATCATTCTTAGATTTGATGAGGGCATGCTCACAGGCTCTCCTGTCAAAACCAAAGTCCTGCAATTGTAATAATCTGACCTCGAAAAGTTCGTGAGCTGCCTCTGAACATTGAGGATCCAACTCCAAGATTTTACTGAGAGCGTTTTCTGCTTCGCTGAAACGCTTTAAACCACACAAGGCCTTAGCTTTTCTAAAATATCCCTTCGGCTCATTTGGAACTAAAGAAACGGCAGAGTTGGCATCACTCAGTGCTTCTTCAAATTTCTTTAAAGAGTGATAACAATATGATCTATTACCATAACATCGGTGATCTATTTGATTCAAGGCAATAGCTTTGGTGTACTCTTCAATGGCATTATGTAGCTTACCAAATTGAGCAAATTCGTTACCTTTTCGAGCATGCTCCTGAGATTTAAAAAAGTTTTCTTCCGTCGGTGGTTCAGGAAGGGATGCGTTAGCAGTCTGAGGAGGTGACGGTTTAGAATTAACAATATTATTATTAGTTTTAGAGTTCGTTACAATTTCACTGACATTTTGAGGAGGGGAACTGGAATTCCTCTTAGAAGTACCGTTATTTTCATCACCATTCACAGCTTTTTCGCTTGCTTTACGAGTCCTGGCTTCAGATTTTTCAACTTTTTGTTTGACCTTCGAACAAAACGCACTACCAAGGTCAATTTCGGGGGTGTCGGAATCACTTTCAACCAGATGATTTTTAGGTTTCTTTGGAGAGTCAGCTACCTTGGGTGAGTTGGTAACGTTACCCTTTTTGATGATTTGAACATTTGAAACATCTTTAATTTCATATTTGTCTTTTGAATTTGTATCTGATTTAGCAGTAACCTCCTTTTCTTCACGCTTCTTTTCTTTTCTACGCTGTTTGTGTTTTTTTCTCCGTTCTCTCTTTTTTTCTAACTTTTTCTTTTCTTGTTCCTCTTCATCAACGAGTTTCTGTGCATTTTTCTGGGCATTTTTCTCAATCTCATCCCACTGTTCATGACTCATCATATCTTCCTCTGAATCATAGTAGTCTGAATCATCACTAAAATCAAAATTCTGGGAATTCTGTGAAAGAAAAGAGAACCACTCAGTTTTGATAAGCTCCTGAAAAAGATTGATAATTTGGTCCTCAGATAAACTGCCAATATCCTCGTCCCCTGTTAGAAGATTATATGCAGCGTTGATCCTTTGAAAAAGACGCTTAGCTCCTTCATTGTCCTTATTTTTATCGGGGTGATATTTAAGGGCTAATTTACGATATGCGGCTTTGATTTCATCGTGTGGAGAGTCTGGAGATACCTGAAAAGAAAAACAGGTTAAGAGGAAGTTAGTCAATAAAGTAATATTTACCAATAAGTTTAGTTGTCGCATTCACCCACATCACACACGTTTTGACAATATTTGATCATGAACTAATTGTTCATTGATATACCTACTAGACATAGCTATCAGTGCTCCTAGATAAGCTGAATAATTTTGATTTTCTTAAAAGCAACTTTTCAAGCTTTAGGCAAATTGTTCTCAAAATGTACACCTCGAACCGTGGAGAATACAGTGAATAGGATAAGGTTTTGTGTGGATATAATAGAAAGGAGTTTTATCTAACCTGTAGAAGTTGAAAAGCTTCGGCTCTTGTGATGGACATGACCTGCATGAGAATTGCAAAACTTTATAAAAACGAACAACATTGCATAAATCAAAATTGCAGTATAATCCTGAATTGATTTGAACGACTATTGGTCAAATTAAATTTGACATATCAGCAGTTGTAATTTTCTTCGACGTTGAATTTGTGAAGCCTTTTTGGTATGTACAAGCAATCTGTGTTACAATTTGAACAGAAAATAGACTACTACCAGAGAGCATGAGCAATCAAACAAAATATCTGCATTAAAGAAAAATAATAAATGAAATATTTCGCATTGACCAGCAAATTATAGAATTCAATAAATATTGTAAATGAAACGTGATCCGATATAAGTAATTGGCATCTTTTTATTTCATCAAATTCAAAAACATTTCACAACACTAAGTCAAAACCTAACTATTAAATTTTTGTGAGAAACAGTTATTGTAAAGACATCTCGTTAATTCACAAATTCAAACCAAGACTTTAATGATGATAATATACAGCAAGCTGAGTTGATAATATACCTATAAATATAATAAGAAAAGGGCATTGAAAACATACAGTCACAGCAAAACCCCGATTTACCGAGCCCCAATTTAACGTAAACCCCGATTTATCATACTTTCTTCTTACCCTTCTTAATACCTTCCCCCCAAATTTTGGAAAATGTCTTCAATTTAGTTTGATATCACGTGATTCTTTGACATACGACTTATAAATGGGTCCCGGATATCAAGCGAGCTTGTCAGGGTTGTAACATCCCCTAATTGAGAACGAGTGAGGTGCGGAGAGAAACCATGTGACGGGGACTCAAAAGTCTAAACCCTGATTTACGGTACTAATTTCCTTTGCGGTTAAATAGGGGTTTAACTCTACTATGCTCCTAAAACTATAATTATAAAATATGAAATGAACCTCAAAAACAGCAAAAGCGGACATTCTTGAAAATCTGAAGATAACTTACAATTGCAATTCATCTAAGGAGGTTGTCAGCGTTGAATTTTGCATAATTGAATATTAAAATTGTGATCACCCTGGTCAATAATTCATAGATTGACTGCCCAGACAGCTTTATCTGAATACTAGACAGCTTCATAAAAATTCAAAGCTTTTTTGATTCCCGTATTCAAACATATTACAGATCATTACGACCTAGAGGAAACAATCTACGAGAATTAATGTTGTAGGCAAGATGTAACTAGTTGTAAAAGATAAGAGTTGATCAAGAAGAGAATGTCAACATTATAATCCATCTACATCATAGCATAACAAATATGATAGAGGGTTTTGTTTTTCAACAGAAAAGTCTTCAAAAGCATGTCATGACGAGCTGAGGAGCCATATATTATATAATTATTAATCCATCGATTTCTGGTGTCCTGGCCTCACAAAATCAACATAATAATAGTATAAATTAATAAAAAGCAACCCATTGATGAACTTATAATGTTTAGAAAAATATACTAAAAACGTACCACATAATAATCCAGATTTACAACTTTATAGAGGAACACTGTGCAATATGTCTAATTCACTACTTTTTAGTTCAATATATAATTATAATACACAATTTTTCAATAAATCAAAGTATAGTTAACAATTACTTTCTACGTGTGTCAAAAATTCACACAAAATGATGAATCAGGATTATTGCGCATTTAAAGGAAGGCATGAAATAGTGGGTATAAGATATATGAAAAGTCATTAAATACAGCCAGCAGCTAAAATCAGCCTAGTTCTTATATGAAACTAGTTATAAAACTTTGCTAAATCATGCAGAGTTAATCACATTAAATGTAAGAGGACAGTAAAGTGTCAAGATAGAACCAAAAAATGTGAATCACTGGAGTGTGTCATCAGGACTGATACGATTTCTACACGCACAATAAGGCGAATGTAACATGGAGGACAAAATGGAATCTAATGTGAGAACTGCAATGAAAACACTTTTATTTTCGGTTTTTAGAGTTGTTGAAGAAAAATGCGTCAGGCCCTAATATTCTAATCAAAGAAAAATAAAAGCATCGTACGTCTTTTGACATTCATAGCAATTAATGATTCCTAAAACAGAGCCCAAATTCTAATTTTGGCCAGGTTGCTTTTCCATATTCTATGCGAGAAGGTGTTTATGTAATTTTCAATTTAAATTTCAAGAAATCATTGTAATTTAATGATTTATAACCTGCACACAAGATGCTAACTTTCAATGACTTTTCCTACCCTCTACTTGACTGGCTAAATCAGCTATCTGTGGAATTTGACCAGTCATGGGATGAATCATAGGAAAGCTAGGTATTTGACCTGGCCCAGGAGGTTGAAACTGAGCCCAATGAGGATGTGCCATGGAAGACACAGGAATGTTTTGAACAATCGGCACGTTTCCAGCAGAACTCATGACAATGTTTGAGGGAGTGTGTGGTTCTGATTTTGATAATTTTGAAGCTTTAACTGAATGCCCTGTTTGAAATCTGAGAGCAGGATTACCAGGATATCTGTCGTACATGTGCGGTGCAGATTGTTGTCTTTTCCTCTTTTTCGGACTGGATTCTTTTTCTGCTGCTTGGGAGGGTTCCTCATTTTTCTGTGGAGATGACAGTATCTGCTGCACTTTGGCATCTACTTCCGATGGAGATAAAACGCCCTCCCACTTCTCCACGCTCTTACTACTTTTATGATCTCGATTTTGTCTTGGTTCATTTTGGATAAGAGGAACACCATACATTAAGGTGCTGGGGGTAAGATATTGAACTGGAATCATGGAGTTACTGAATTGGGAAGATGATGCAACTGATGGAGGATACTTAGCAATGTTATTACTTTGTTCTGATGATACTGGTTTGGGTACTGGATAGTGTTCTGAATTGACATCATCATCTATGTCAGGAATAGTTCCTAGGTTTGGATTTGTGCAAGTTTTCAGAATTGAATCGACTGATGTCAAATTATGATCACTTGAAGCTTTAGAGGATTTAGAAAGAACCTTTTTTTCACCATAATCCCCAAGTGACACTAACAATGTTGGTTTGGATGAACCGTCGATTCGCACCTTCCCTTTATCTGGCTGTATAACAATTGCAGGCTGCTTGGAGATTTTTGGCGGTTGTTTAGACTTTGATTTAGTCTTACTTTTAGTTCGCTTATCATCCTGTGAGGGTAGCTCATTGTACGATCTCACCATTGGTTGCTGGCCATAAAGTGGGTTGCATCCTGGCATTCTTAGCATTGCTTGGTGATTCATAGCACGCTGATGAAATGCTTGCTGGTTTATTGCCTGCTGATTCATTGCATAATAATTCGATGGATACCTGTTCATTACAGGATGCATGGGATTGGTATGAGCATATGGCGGAGGCCACATATTATTTTGGCTCCCATACCCTCTGTTAGGCTCACTCTGAACTATTTGTAACATGTTTCCGGGATTTCTCTGTTGTTTTATTTTCTGCCTACTTTGTTCAGCATCAATATTCTTATCTTTGCCAGAAGGTTTTTCAGGAGCTTTCCGTAAATTAGTATCTGGTATTTGTTTAGATGATTGATTAGTGTTCATAAGTTCTGGAGCAAGTGGAAGTTGTGGAGAAACTGGTGGATCCCTGTGAGCTTTTGGTGCGGGTGTGTTAGATATAAGGTTTCGAGAATTGTTGTTTTGCTGAGAAGACTTCAAATGGGAGGGGTCATACTTATTTTTGACATTTATGGACCCTACATTAGGCTTGATATCAGCACGATGTCCATGATTAGATTGATTAATGTTTTTTGGGTGTGTGTCTCCCACTGGACTTGGTTTCGGAACATCTTTGGAAACATTTATGACATCAGGGTTTTGAAGCTGCTTCAAAGGTGATCGTAGCTTTTGAGTTCTCTTTTCTAAACTTGAGTATAAGAGTTGCAGAATTTGTTGAACAGCATATCTGTTAACTTGGCAAAAAATCGATATTGGGGGAAGTTTACTGGCTGATGTAGATCCATGATTACCTTCAACAGCTGGTTTTTTAGTTTGAGGACTACCCATCGATTTTGGAGAGTCTTTTATTAAGTCAGTTTGATTACTAGTAGGGTTCTTTTTAGAGCTGGAAGAAGATAACGTTTTTTGGGTCGAACATATACCCTGCTCTTGCGTTTTTTGGTTTCACAGTTTTCAGATTACATGAATGTGAAATTGGAGGACCTTTAACTGTTTCATTTGCTGAATGAGATTTCCCTACTTTTTCACCAGGAGGTTCTACTTGGCGAGATGGCTTTTCTAGGGAATCTTTTGATTTAATAGCAGCATCAAATGAGAAGAGAGAGTCCAAATGGAGGGGGCACTGAAGACCACATTTACAAGTTCCAGGTGAGGTTAGGTATTGTAGTATGTCATCTTTTGACTTAAGTTCATCAGAGGAAGGGGTAACATAAACAACGTTTTGACTTTTTATGACTCTTTGCCAACCTCGAGGGATATCTATACATTGCTTCATATATTACTTTCTGGTTTTCATATCACAATTGTCATCAATACCTGAAATATAGTTTATTAAATTAAGGAGTTTAAAGTGAATTACATAAAAGAAAACTAATTTGTACGCTCCTAATCTGCGTGCTAATGTCATGTCATCAGTATAAGATTGTGCTAATCAATTTGTCTGATATTCAAAAATAAAATTCAGTCCTGCAACTATAATCAAAAGTCATGTAACACTGCAATTGAGGGTAAAATGAGGAGGGTCCCTGCCAGGATATTTAGTATCCTGTAAGGGAATCGTTGTAGTGTACAGTGAACATAAATATTTATACTACAATACATTTTGACTTTTCGCACAAGCTCAACTGTTGGCTAGTTTATTCTTATGTTTACAGAAGAGCTTAATATGCCATTTAAAGTGTCAGTGAGGCAGAAAGTAAAATATTCTGGATTTTACTTTCTGCCTCACTGACACTTTAAATGGCCTATTAAGCTCTTAAGATTTACAATGCTAAGAACAACACTTGCACTTATTGCTCTATGTGGGGTGCAGGGCTAGAGGAAAGAAGATGGA